CAGCCTACAGTATTTTTACAGTCTTTATTTTACAGTTAAAATATATGTTTATTAAATAAAGTCTAATGTTACAACTAATCAGGGATCCCTTTAAGATTCAACCCATATGCTGAGTATATATACTTCAAGTCCAACTACTTTTACTACAAACACACACTTGTTGTCATTTGGTTTGGTTGAAAAAACACAAATCAAAAAAGGTACCTGCACGGAGCGGACGAGGAACTCCTCCCACAAAGATGGTTTTCCTCGGGTCCAGAGGCTGGGATCCRTCCATCACGAAATCGCTATCATTCAGGTTCCAGGGCCGAATCTGGACCTGTTGCACACAAATCACAGAGGGTTCAGGTCTGCGAATAAATGACACCAGAAGCTGCTCTTATAGAGTCAAACGAGCGTCTGGACCGGGGAACGCCACTGACCGGCTTGTCTTTAATGGTGGGGCTGGAGACGCACAGATAGAGCTTGCCGTCCTCCTCGATGCAGGCGTCGATCAAAGCCTGCACAGAGCTTTCATCCTGGAACAGCAGGAAGGCGTAGCCTGCATAAAACACAGCGGGGTTATTGGAGCTGCTCAGGCCACACACAAAATAATAAAATAAAAATAAAAAAATCTGACACAATCCTGCTGGAATTGCTGATTACTGTGATCATGACACCCTGTTTTTGTTCTCTTACAGCAACAAAAAAAGAAACAAACAGCATGTCGGATATGGTTAACAAAAGCTTCAGACAACAAGAACACAGATGTATTAAACAGTCTGTTATAAGACACTAGAACAGATTTGCAGCTTTAAATAAAGACATAAATGTACACCAAAAAAATAAATAAAAAGAAGGTGCAACATGTGAACWAGTGGTTATTTAAAATACCTTTAGGGGGGAAGTAGGATTTGCTCTCTGCTTTGTGGGGCCAATCCACAAACAGTTGTCCAAAGCGTCGGAAACTGGCTGTTATCTCATCTGAAATGAAAACCAGGGCTTTGTGAGAAAACACAGATATACAGCAGTACAGGAGCATCATCCTCATCCAAGGTTATAATAGTTTTGGATTTTTCGTTATAGTTTAGTTTTATTTTGTTTTGACTTTTTTCTTTTAATTCAGTTTTAATTAGTTTTTACAGTGGATTTACTAGTTTTTATTAGTTATTATTGCATTTTTAATGCTTAGTTTTAGTTTAGTTTAGTTTAGTTTTTATTAGTTATAGTATTAGTTTTATTATAGTTTGAATAAACATATTTGCCAATGCATCCTCCATCTTGTGATGTTCCTGTGAGTTAACTAACCAGCAGCTATTTGGTCGCTATAAAGCAGACATTATAACAAAACCTTCCTAAAATAATTGTATAATTCAATTTTGCCAACTAAAAACTTGGGCGATTATTTTAGGACGATGACAATAGTTGTCTCCAACCCAGTGCTACCTGTTGCTTGTTTTTCAGAATCCACATAGCTCAAAATAAATTGACAAACACTAAAACTAAGGATATTAATCCGTGTATGGTTCGTTCTTTGGTTTTCTCATTTCAAAATAAAATTGCAAAAACAAAACAACCACCTGTTTTTTTTTCTGTTTTTAAAACAAAATTAGAAAAATGGCAATTGCAAAAATAAAAAAGGGGTATTTTTTTCTGCAATGGTTAAACTAAAGACAAGCTTTGACATTGAATTGCTGTTTATCCCAAAATCTACAATTAAACTATGACTTTATTCTGTATGTATTATAGGTATGTGAAGGCAATAGGTATGACATAAATGTACAGTGTTTATAATTATGCCTCCCATTTTCTCATCATTTTATTGTTTTGGTCTGCAAGAGGACACCTGCTGGTCCATTGCTGTAATACACCATGTATACACACTGCCTACAGAAAGCTAACGTCAGCTAGCTAGTATTTACAAGTGTCACTCATTCGTCACAGTATAATGTCCRTAAACTCTGATACTTAAGTTTGATAATAAATGCAGAAAATGGTTCAAGTGCAGCCATTGCCTATTATTTAAGACTGGTTTGTTTTTATGCAATCTTTTATCCACTGTAAACTATCCTTCTTTGGGGACTTACTTCATTTCCGGTATTGCTACATATTAAAAGAACCGAATTTAATTTTTATTCAGATGGCTAAAGCAAAAATTAAACGCTGTTGATTTTCTATTAATCAGTGTGCATTGCCAATGCAATGCACACTATTGTGATTCATTTYYCATCCAAGTCATCTCCACTTTGGCACGCTTCTCCTCCTGCATACTTTGTCCTAGAGCTGCCATTGTAATTTATATCTGTAAAGCTCCTGTGCCAAATGATGGCTATGCCTTTTGATGCCTGTACAACTTATACTTTTTGAAATATTAATGTTTAAAATCATATAATGGCAGTCAATGGAGCCTTGTATTGGTCCAATACTGCCCCTTGCTGTATATGCTCAGTACTGAACCAGAGTTTTAATTATATTTAAACTCAGTAGTTCAGTGATTACAATACTAATATGATTGTATTTTGATGTTTTATTAAAATACTGTCCTAATATTACTCTATTGTTGTAATATTATGCACTTCTGTGTCAGCAATTGCATTGGCAATGTGGCCTCTTTCTGCACACATACAAACCAACCCCTGCCACCACCTTCTGCCACAGCTCCACTGGTCTAATGGTCTATGTCATGGATGTTCATGTGGGAGATCAGGGTTCAAAGCCCAGCTAATGCAACTTTAACAACAAATCTCTTCCAACTTCATATTGTCACTCAATTACCTTAATTACAAACACCTGCTGACGTGACAGGCACAAGCTGGTATAGAAAACATATTTGAACTTGGTCAAAGTTCATTCTGCAAGTCCAATGCTGCAGGCAAAGCCATGCTGCAACGACATGCTACATGGCAATGCACACTTGTTTTTACATTGTAAAAACCCATGTCTAGTTCGATTTTGCATTCCTACATTTACGTTTTAAATACAGAAAAACAAAAAAACATGCTTGTTTTGTTTTTGCAATTTCATTTTGAAACAAAAAAAAAAAAACGACCCATACACGGATTGATATTCTGTCTATAATTTAATTTAGTTATAGTCAGTTTTGTAAAAGGATTATACAGTTTTAGTTAGTTTTTTTATTTTATTACCGTTTTTATTAATTTTAGTTTACTAAAATGTTTTTTTCAATTTCAGTTTTCGTTATTTAGTTAGTTTTAGTTAACTATAATAACTCATCATCCCTATTCCGTCCCCAAGTTTAAGCGCAGCTAATATTAGCCACACGATGAAGTCCCTGTGATTTTAACGCAACTACTGTACCTTCATCTATATCTGGAGGCAGTCCGCCGACAAAGACTTTGCGTGAGTAGCGCTCCACGCGCTCTCCGTTCTGATGAGGGAAGCAGTGTGGAGAGCCCAGACCTGCGAGACCCTGATCTCCACGCTCGTCATCGGGGAAGCTGTCCTCCATGGGGAAGAGAGAGGAGTGGCCTGAGGAGGAGAGGAGGAGGTCAATGGAAACGATTTATTCCCTGAGAAGTGACACAAGTGTAAAGACTTGTGATGAGAAATAACTGTCCAGTGAGAAATACAGAATGTCTAATAAAGACTTGTGTCCTGAACTGAACAGAGATGCAGGTTGGAGCCTCTTAAATGTTTCAAWAGTTTCACTGTGGAACATATGTGGTGGAGGCTAAGCTGTCCCTGGCCCATTCCTGCTCCCATCCAACCTGCCCTGAGCTGCTTTATAAAGATTTATGCACGCGTGTTAGTCTTAACTTCCAGTACGTGTCTGCGTCAGTCGCAGTGTGACTAAATGACACACGATGCTTTGTGAGCCTCACTGCCTCATTAAGTCTCGGCTAAATCTAACACTCACTAGCATTGCCTGATTTAACGCTACAAAATGTTTGTGAAGAGGAAACTGAAAGCAGAGCAAAGCTTAATGAAAAAGGGAAGATAATGTATTTCACAAGCTCATAACACATCTCAACACTTCATGCAGACAAATTGTAAAAAACAAAACAACAACAAAAATGAATTCAAAATTCATTTGATCATAATGCGTGTATGGTTCATTCTTTGTTTTAAAATAAAATTACAAAAAGGAAACCATTTTGTGCTTTTTTTTAGTTTTTAAAACCAAATTGTCAAAATGTTTCATCGAACTAATTAGATTTTTGCTTCAGCTTTCTAAAATCTAAATGAAATATAGTGTTAGTTTGAATATACAGCGATAATGGARTTAACAGAATTCGCCAAAGAAGAAGAGTTTAAAGAGGCTGAAGGCTGCTTAAAACAGAAACCATTCCTAAAGATATTGGAAATGGCTGCTCAAACTCTATCCTGCATAACATGGAATAATAAAGTAAGGAGTTCAGGCCAAGATTTCCTGTTCTGCCAGAAAGACCCAAATAATGCAAACAAAATAAAATAAAGTCTTGCTGTCATGGTCTAATTATTTATATCTGTTTCCCCTTGTCACTGTCCATCACTCTTATCTTTCTGATGGCTCCGGACGACTCCACAATGGACTGGTGGGAG